ACCATAAATTTATAGCCTAAATTAGGCTTGGTACAATTTTTTTCTAAGGTCCTGCAACATATCTCAAATGTACTGCACGTCAATCTGTGGGAAACTAACGTTCGACTTAAAATAATGAAACATATGTTGCAATTTTCAGGAACGTCTTAAGAACCTAAGTCGGAAAAGGCCTCTGTACTAAAATAGCAGGGTCCCTCATGGGCCAATACATACTGCAGACTATGGCTTGGGCTGATGTCTGTGCATGTGTAACACCCCATAACATAATGAACAATAATGGATCACCGCAGGAACCTTCTTCCTCTCATTCTGTTGCGTACTCAGGCCAGAGAGAGAATGAACACGGCTGACGTGACTGTTACCTCTTCCTACAATGAACACCACTTCTCCATCAACACCAAACACAAATCAGAATGCAAAGGAGAACCTGTGGTCAAAACGAAATCCACAACACAAGCCAGGACTGAACAATTAGGGGGGAGGCACGCAGAGGGGTGGTAGCTTCTAGGCAGGGCTGTCTTTAGTCTGACTCTCAAAGGCAAGACACTCATGGGAAAGAAAACAGAAGCAACAATACAAGAACAATTGATGGGAGAGGTGGAAGACATTAACCTTTAAGAGCCAAGCAACTCCATATGGCGTCATGAAAATAAAGTCAAGGGGACGAATGACGCCATATGTCGTCGCGCAGTCTACGCGTGCGGCCAGCTTTTTAAAATCTAATTTTAAGTTATAAATTCTTTTTCTACTTACATGATTTTAGGTCACCAGCTTTATAAGTTGTCTCTGTTCCCACCTGCGTCGTCTAACGGAATGTTGGCTTCGTGTGGAAATCTTGGAAACATCCGGAAATCCAGAGTCCGACGTCGCACTTCATGCACTTTGTCTGGACGGTTCTTCGTTTCCCACGCGAAAAGCACACACGACACCTCAATTGCAAAGTAGAGGAAGTCGGCCAGTGATGTGGTTTGGCCTCCTATAATCGGTATATCTCTGATAAAACGGCAGGGGTTCGACCCCTGGGCCGTTGATGGCGAGGTGGACCCCTTCCAGCATGTTCCTGACAAGAGCGAGACGAAATTCTCTGTGTGACAACAGGATGTAACTGTTCAGATCCAGGAGATGGAAAAATAGTTTATTTGTCCATTTCCAGGTTCGACGACAGATGCTATAACTGTTTGCCAGTTTGCTCACAGCTCCACCTGAATAATTATTCACACTCCTCTTGCCATGCAGGTGTGGTGGTTCCCAGGTTTCCGACCAAGAGGATGGTTCTTCGCCGAAATCAATTTCTGATTCACTTTCCTCAACGCCACTCTCAGAACTGTCGGTACAACAATCTGATTCGGAGTTGTTTATGAGTTGAAATACGTCAGCGTCTTCCAAACGAGACAGCACAATGGTTGGTTCGCGCTTTTGACACTGCTTGGCTGTGCTAACCATGAAAGTACTTAAAATCTACTTCCAGCAGAGTGAGGACAGAGAGCTTGCTGTGTTGCGACAAGCGATAATAAACAATTGGGGTTCTTGTACACGAATAGATACTCACCCCACATCTCTGCATACCACGTGTATAATCTTTCGATACATGCAAGACTAAACATGGCGACATAAACCATCCGCTGTGTTGCAACATTTACATACAGCATTCTTACTTCCAAGAACTCTGAATTCATGTAGACAGACCGCAAATTTGGGAATTTTTTACTTGGAAGCAGTCTGCTTTAAAATTGTGGGTATTTAAATCAAATCCATCCCGCTGCCATTACTGGAATTTAAAGGGCCGTCACTTAAAGGTTAAGAAGAGAAGTAACTTCTAGCCTTAGGGATGGGGAGAAATTGCATTCATTCTTTCTCTCACTCCACTTTAATGTCCACCCTCAATGGCATGACATTCTCCAGAAAGAATGTACAGCAATACCTCGCATAGTCCAGGTAATCGGTTCCGCCAATATCCCGCACTGTTTGAAACCAGACTAATCGAGGAACTAAATACATACAAAAAATGATAATTGGTTCCAAAAAAATCTCAAGTTTTTCAATAAATAAAAAGTGATTAATAAATTCAAATGTCTTTATTAGGAATAATTATAAAAAATCCATGTTTTTCACAATTCATTTTTATTCTCTAAAAATTGCAATATTGATGTCTGCACATTTTTCTTCTTTGGCCTTTTCTCTTCTCTGTAGCAACGAACTGCACTGTTTACTGTTTGGCGAATTGTAAGGCTACGTTCAATATTGGGATCAACTTCCATAATATGCTCTGACAAGGTTTCAACAATTCCAATAATTTTTTATAGTTGTTCAGCTGTTAATTCTCGTGCAGGCACTTCAACACAGTCATCGTCTAAGTTTTCCTCCTGTTCTTCATAAGCCTGTTGTTCATCTGTGTTAATAAGTGTTTCATTATCTAGTTCATTAGTGTTCAATTTGATGCACTCAATTACATTGACAGAATCTAACTCATTGAAACCAAGTTGCTGTCCTATTTCCACTATGTTATTAGTGACTTCAGCAAAATTAGTTTCAAAACCAATGAAATTGTCCATGATATGTATGTGTTGGCCGTCTTCTAGTGCACAGTCTCACATGTCATTTCACTACGTGTTTTGGCATCATTTGATTACAACGCATGCAGCCAAAGAAGAAGGAAACATCACAAGACACAGTATACACAAAATATAGGAGCGACTCCCATAGTGGATGAGTGATGTAATGCGCGAGTTTGAAATGAGATGTACAGGATGATAAATCTTAACAAATCTTAATATATATAGATTTTATTATGGTACATGAGGAATATACATTTTAAATTATTTTATAAATGACACATGATGGCGAGCAGCGCAATAGTTTAACGTAGGTGACACACCTGAGGATGGCACAGTGATGCCGAAACATGTAGTGAAGTGACATGTGAGATTGTGTGCACTAGAAGATGGTCAACACACACATATCATGGAGGAGAATCAGTGCAACAGGATGCTAAAATACAATATTACCAATGAAATAATTTGCACAATGTGGTATGATATGTTTCCATACTGCCCTCATATTACTTGCCGTAAATTCATGCCATGCTTCGCCTATATTTTCGATAAAGTTTCTGACATTGTAGCTTTTCCAAAATTCTGTTAAAGTAGTGCTCTCACCACCTCCTCCAGCGATAGTGTCAGGGCTCAAGAACGAACGACCCGAACATACATAGAGAACGGGGAACACCAGAAAAAATTGAAATATGTATCGTATTGCATAACTCTAAACCCACATAAAAATAAACCGCACAATGAGACATGACTGTATAAAGGGAAAAACCTATCATTTATGTTTTAAAAATAATTTTGTGTACTAATTTTTTAGAATTTCTTTTTATTTTGCTCAATTAAAATTTAGTTTGTTTGGAAATTTTCAAACCGGACTATAGTGAATCCGGACTGATCGAAGCAGGACTATGCGAGGTATTGCTGTAACTCCAAAATCGCAAGTGCCATGTGAAGAATAGCCAAGGTACCAATTATATACCATCTATCCATCATATGCCAAACTTCCTCCAATATTTACTCCTAATACCGTTGTCATGAATGTAAGAGTCCGTGAATATGATACACATACAAAACCATACATGTGGGAAACTGTAGGGCAGTGTTTCCCAACCACTGGGCCCTTGGTTTATAGAAAAAAGAATTTACAGGGCCATGGTCTGACAAAGGTTGAGAACCACTGCCGCAGGGGAAGCAAAATGGCATACACACTAGACACTTCCAAACTGTGTATCTGGAACTCCGAACAAGAGAGAATATGTTAGGTAACCCTGAAATCACTGTCATTATTCTACTTATTAAAAGAACATAACTAATCAATGGCTTCTCTTCTTCCTTTGCTTTATGCTAGGATGTCTTGATATTCAGTTGCATTCAGTTCTTCTTGCATATTCATACCAAATCTGACGACTCAATAAAAATAATTCTTCTAAATTTTCCTCATTTTGCTTATGAACAAGGCATGTAAGCCACAGTTTTCATAAATTTCTTTTCTGACACCCAACCTGATTCCTAATTATCTCAACTTGAAGAGACTAATATACTGTGTAGATGTTTCAAAAACAAGTGAATGTGTATCTTAAAATTTGTATTGCTTCTTTGTTATTCAATGCAACTGTATTAAACCTTCACAGATGGTTCTTCACACTTGGGAAATTTGTTACACAATACAATGTCCCATATGATGCCCCCAAAGATTACAAACTCTATGCAAACAATGAATAAAACTGTTCAGAACCTTGGTCAGCATTTCTGTAAAAATGGCTTCAATCTCTGATTTGATGGCAGTTTTCTGGTTCAGAACTGCTTGCAGAATTTTCTGTAACACCTAACACACCATTCATGACACCTGGATTACCCTCCAGTACTGTTACACAATCCCTCACAAAAGAGTACTGTTTGTCTATTCCATCGTCTGTCAACAGATGGCTGTTGCATTTTGTGGGGAGACATCAAGTCATCACGACAAATTATCCAGGCATTCCTAGCTGAGACCTGATCTGATATAGTAAATGTCGTACACTTTCTCTTGGACTTATTGTTACTGCCTCCCATACTGCACAAAGGATTTCTTCCTACAAACATATCTTCAGAGTTTACGTCCCTTCGCACGTTTTACACACACTTTCTATTTCATCCCAGCATTTAACAACCTGGCAGATAGACTCTGTTGATGTCACATTCACAGAATCTCTACGATTCTGTCACTCAACAGCAACATAAGAATAAAAGGTTTTGACAACAAACGATTCCTGATCGATCATACACATCAGCACCTTGATATTCAGTTCAGCATCTCCAACTGCGACAAACCAACTTCCCAAATGTTCAGAACAATCTGTGAGCTTCACACAACTGTGTTCAATAACAAAGAAGTTGCACATATTTTAAAGCATGTGCTCAAAAACTGTATGTCATGAATAAAAATAATGGATTGTCCTCCGATGCTTGACCTACCTTCCTCACTCTTGATATCAGCCATGGTTGTGGTGTCTTGATTCAAAAATTCTTGTTGACACAAGTAGCTGGAGAGCAAAAGAAAACTGAATTAGAAGTGATAACACACAAAACGAAAATATGAACACAATATGAAGGGGAGAGCCACTACTGCCTCTGCTGGAGGAGAGTATCAGCATTCCAGTTCACCCTGAGTACACAACATTTATTTACCCATTTCCTGTTAATCACAACATATTTATATTTGCATCCCAGCCTAGCACCTTCAAAGAAACATTCCTCAACAGAATAAGGCCCTCAGGCAAAATTCCTCAACAGAATAAGACCCTCAGGCAAAATATATTTAGAGGTCTCAATTCCTCAGAGATCCACGGAGTGCATGTCAATTCATGACATACAGCCACCATTGGGCAGCATACATAGATTCATCTCTTCAAGTTATTCCCTGCTGATACTGAACCCAAAGAAGATGCATCACCATACCTTGAACCTCACCCAGGGATAGTTTAAGCCGGTTCACACTCTCACAACCTATTTATAAGACATATTTTAATATACATTATACCCCCATTTGCACCCTTCTTTTTCATGTAGCTGCTTCCCATGAAGTTTAAAGCCCATATTTCATGTATGTGTATATTACTTGCTTCCCTCCCATCTGTCTTGATTTAAATGCCATAAAAATCCTACTTCAGGAGCTGCAAACTATACTATGTGTTAAGAAGAAAGCAGTCTTCTGGGATGTGGTGCCGTGTACAAGTTGTGTTAACCGACGTTTCGGAGGAACGCATCACCTCCATCTTCAGGGTAGAAGGAAAGAAGAAATCCGCGATCAAACCTGGCTTGAGCAGGTGCAACAGACATGCACTTGCACAAGCTGGTTCCCTCGCGGATTTCTTCGTCTTCAACCCTGAAGATGGAGGCGATACCTTCCTCCGAAACGTCGGTTAACCCAACTTCTACGTGGCGCCACATCCCAGCAGGTTGCTTTTTTCATATTCACTGCCATGAAAACCACAAATCTTATATACTACGTATTAAATTTAACAAATAACCATCCAAATGACATGACACAAATGAATATGTAAATTGAAACATATTCTTGTGAGAGATGAGCTTTAAACACAAAAATGATACATAAATGCTTACCAGGCAAACGAAAAAATTAATATTATAGTTAATTTTACCGACCACACAACACATTTTTATTATTGTCACACTACATGTTTCGACCTCAAGAGGTCATCCTCAGGTGTATGAACACAGTTGCACAATCACATGCAATCACATTAGTTTTTTCACTTATTTCGATCCTGTATCCTGTTCAGGTCCACGCTCAATAATATATGTCAAGTTCTTCTTATAAAGTACAAGTTNACTGAACTATATATATATATATTTTTTTTAAATTTTAAATTTTAACTTTTAACATTTGTAATAGTATTTTTAACTTGTATTTTATAAGAAGAAACTTGACATATATTATTGAGCATGGACCTGAACAGGATACAGGATCGAAATAAGTGGAAAAATGAATGTGATCGTGTGATTGTGCAACTGTGTTCGTACACCTGAGGATGACCTCTTGAGGTCGAAACATGTAGTGTGGCAATAATAAAAACGTGTTGTGTGGTCGGTAAAATTAACTCTAAGATTGATTAAATACACAACAGGATGCAAGAAACAATTAAAACGAAAAAATTGCTCATCAACTATTTTCTTTATGGCATAATAACAGCCTGGTTTTACTTTCATAAGTCAAACCTTGAGTATTCAATAGAGATAATAACGTTGCTTCTTCAGGTCTTCTGTATTGTCACGTGTATTAGTGGTGTGACCATTAGACGGGGGTTTGGATTGGATTTGTTGCATTTATACACTCAACTCGTAACTGCATGTAATACAGCTCTACCCCTGATGTACACACTTTACAGTTCACTGTCACACGCGCACGCACGCACGCACACACACACACATAGGTAAACATGTTCCAACAAACCCGCTTCCAAAAACAGAAGGGCGTCCATTGCTAGGTAACAGACCAATAAACACAATCACATCAATGAATGTACAACAATAGGGCATCCATTGCTAGGCAATGCATGGGTGGACACACATTAACATTATACCATGTTTTTAACATTATGCATCTTGTTGTGCATGTAAATTCTAGAGTTTTCATACTGTCACACAACAAAACGTGGGTTGTTGATTAGCGAATAATAAATGATTGAATCAAATTGAATAAGTAAATCAGTTTATTATAGTAAACACACTATGTTTCAGACAGGCCATCAGACTGACTGCGTATAAATAAAACACTATGACATTACTGCTGAAGAGTATACTGTCTTTATGTGAAATGTTTTTCATGCTGGGGGTGAATATATCAAGAGCACACTAAAAAGGTATAAAACTGTAAAATGTATATATAACGGTAAAATTGTCCCTGTGTTTAATTAGTTAAGCACTATGCCATGAAGACATAAGAGGGAGTGAAGGTACAGCTCCACTTTTCTTCACCCTGACACTAAATTGAGTGGTCAGCTTCATGCACACCCCCCCATTTCCTTTACCCCCACAAGAAGAGCCTCTGGTACCCAGAGTATAGGAGGTTGGGTGGCCCCATAATCAGTCTGGACACTGTGGAGAAAAGAAAAATCTTGCACTTCTGGGAATCGAACCTGGGCTCTCCAGGCCATAGCCTGTCACTATATCAACTAAGCTATCGCGACTCCTAAATGTATATATACCGTGTCAAGAGTGCAGGCTGATAAGACATTGTTTTTACAGTCGACAACTTCCTGCGAAAGCGTTGCATCACTTGCCGAGAAAAATGCTGCCACACAGCCGGAACTAATAGCACACACTGTTTACTCCTTTTGTTAATTATTAATCAAATATAGTAATTACTATTATACTCCCCATCATAGAAGATGTTCAAAATGTCTGCCCTCTGCTGTGAGACATGTCTGAATTCTTTTAAACAGATTTTGGGAAACTTGTTGCAATTTACGTTGCTGAATGTTGTCAACTGCTTCATGAATATTCTGTTTTTGAGCCTTGAAGTCATGTGGATTGTTGACATACACAACACTTTTGTGTTTTCCCCACAAACAAAAAACACAGTCATTTAGACTTGGTTATCTAGGGGACTACAACACTTGCTAATAATTCTATCCTCCCCATTTATTTATCCAAACACACCGCGTAATGCTCAGATAGTTTCGATAGCTGTGTGTGGAGTAGTGCTATCTTGCATAAAATAACCGAATCTTTCTTCTGCAGGTGCCAAATTAATGAAAAATGGATTGAATATTTCATTCATGTATCGTTGAGTATCAAGAGTTCCTTCATAAAATATCGATCCAATGATAACAGTTTGGGCTAATGGCACACCATACGCATATCTTTTGGTCATAAAGGGGAAGTTAAATTAGGGCATGAGGATTTTCATTACTGCAATACCTGTTGCTTTTCGAGTTAGAGTTAACATCCCGAGAGTTTGATTTGTTTCATTCTGGTCCATCACACTAACAATTACAAAGATAAAACAACTCTGTCCAGTGCGACTAGTCAGAGGGAACATCGATACTTATTTGGAAACTATTATCACAAATAGGTGTTCTGAGAGCCAAATTACATACATACACAATATACACAAAATCCAGTTTTTTCACAATCACAGCAGCTTTCCTGGTTAAAGTATTTGAAACTTTGTTGTTTAAGTTAAGTCAAGAAAGATGATAGGAGAAGTGACATGAGCCTACTTGGTTTATAAATTTTAACTTAAACAACAAAGTTTAAAAACTTTAACCAGGAAAACTGCTGTGATTGTGAAAAATTTGGATTTTTTGTATATTGTGTATTCCAAGCATTGTGTGTATATGTAATTTGGTACTCAGAACACCTATTTGTGACAGTAGTTTCCAAATAAGTATCGACGTTCCCTCTGAAAATGATCCGTAAGGATTGAAACATGTAAGGGTGCTGAGTTTTCAAGTGGTAAAACTTAAATAGTCATCCTGAGAGATTGAAATTAGCTTCATCTGTGAAAAATGTCGGCTTATGATTCGTAAGTCCTTCATGCCCATGACTGATAATTACAAAACCTCAATTTTTTTCATAATCCACAGGTTTAATTTCAGGAACAACAGTAATTTTACACGGACAAATAGACAACAGTTTAGTTGCTTTCAATGCACTGCCTACAGAAACCGCACTCTGTTGTACTGATCGCCACAAAGGTTTTTGGGGGGAATTTTCTAATTGATGACCAAAATCAACCGTTTCCTCAGTTAAAACATGATTTCTTTTCAACAGCTTTCTGTCAATTAAAATACTGTGGGTTCAAACTTTCTTCATTAAATTGGAAACTGTATCTCTAAATGGACATGTTTCAGGAAATTTCCAGCAAAATGTTCTCCTGCATGATTTGTATGAGTTCTTTTACACATAACCCGTGACCCAAGATGTTGGCTGGTCGACTGAATTACGTTGGCCGAGCGGTAGCGTAATAATTCAGTGATGATGATTGTCAGTTGGCTGCCTGAGCGTGTATTCCAACCACAAAGAGCAATTACTCACTACAGATTACAGAGGATTTATTGAGACTGTGTGTATATTACATACAAGCGCTGGCGGATGTAAGCCTGGCCAGCCTTCTCATAGCTCCAACACAGACAAAATGCCCCCTTCAACTTCCCTCTTCTTCTTAAAACCTCCCTAAAAACTAAACTTGCAGCCCAATATCTCCAGACATGAACCCTCACGCAGATCAGATTACACCAGCTGGTGTTGAAGGATAGGTCCCAGACGAAACACTCCAGGACCCCACTAATTTATGGAATGGCAAGGGTAGATATAACATTTTTTCTTTGAGGAAGCAGGTCAACCTCTTCGCGTGCTGTTCCTAAAATTAAAAGGGGTTGCAAACCTCGCAACACCTCCCCCTTAAGATGGAAACATTTGCAAAAACAGGTGCTAATGTTTCCCAACACAAATATAGGTTATATATACTACAGATTACAGAAACATAAATCTACCATCTACGTTTATAAGTCTTACG